CTTGGGAAAGGCGTAGTACTTTTTAGTGTACATATCACATTTTCACAATAGAAACGCGTTTTTATGGATGTTGTTTAAATCAACATATGACCACCAAGACAAGATTGAGCAATTTTATATGTCTATAGAAAGAAACCGATTCGATTTATCGAAGCCTGTCGATTCGACATCTTAACAAAAAGGCGTTTCTCGAGTAAAATGTCACGAAGATTGAGATCACGTGAACTGAGAGACGTGAGATTTTACTGCATTTGAAGATTAATATTGATCTGCATTTTATAGATTCGCTGTTGTTGTTATCAAATACAGATTAACCCAGTTTCTTGTTTTCAAAATTCTTTCTGATATCATTGAGTTCAAATAAGTCTACTGATCTAATATTTTTGAGCTCTACCATTTGGATGCTGTAGACTGTGCTAGTCATGTTGTAAAACCTCAATAGAATGAAGACACCGTATTGTATGTTTAGTGTTTTTATTGCACATTTGCTTACRATCTATACTATCGACACTAGCTTTACTATCATTAATGATTGACTTTAAGGTTGAACCAAGTCGTTAAGTCAGTCAGGCCTCAAAGCTGCCAGACCCTTCATCTATAAAACAAATCAAATAAACCAAAAACTAATAAATAAAACAATAAATAAACAAGAATAAAATCAGTTGACATTGATATATCATATACAGTGTAGCGGACAAACTAACAGATCTAGGGCGTATGAAGAATGGGTTTTAAGCGAAGGGGAGTTCTCAGAGGGAAATTTGGTAGACATATAGAAATCGTATAGTCTTCTCCTCAACATACTCGATTTTAAAAGTACGATATTGCAGCTAGCGATACTATAAGCCTTCATCAGGTGTGAATTGTWATGTATACGGGGGCCATGATGAGCAAGAATTAATCCGTAGCTTTTTGAAAGAAAAASGATTTCATTTCTCGGGTTGGGAGGGGCTAGTGCGGTTTCTCCTCAGGATATCCCCTCTAGGCTGTCATAGCTAACTAGTCTTCCTTGCGTTGCGCCGGATTTAAGCAAAGAAAACTGCTTACTTGGTTTGTGGAAACACCATGGAACGTCTCCACCGAGAGATTCGTCCCAGCAGCAGTCTCTTTGACGAACACATTCGTTCTTTTTAATGCCAAAGTAACCGCATTCCTCGCGTTCACTAGCGGCGACATYGCCGCACTGTCCATTGTCCACACCTTCAAATATGAAAACATCGTTAGTAGTTGGATTTCATCTGGAACTTCATTTAAAGAACCTGTCTGCTTTTCTGTGATATTTTGTTTTTGCTGAAGCCTCGTAGAATTCGAAGGGAACTTAATTTTGTTTTTTATATATATTAATTTTTGTTTGTCTTTGATGCAATAACGAGCCATTRTGCTTTACTGTAATTGCACTTTGCCTATTATAGCAATTTGTATATCAACATTATTAAAGAAAAAAAATCTTACTTTTGTCAAAAAAACACCATGGAATGCCTGATTCGACTGAATCGTCCCAGCAACAGTTCCTGCCATTAACACATTCATCCTCCTTGATGCCGTAGTAACCACAATCGTCTCGTTTATGAGCAGGTACTCTGCACTGTCCTTGTCCAGGGGACTCTTGAGGAGCTTTGTGCATAAAAAAAATGAAAAAAGGCTATTATTTATTGTGGAATTTAATCATTGAAGTGATTGATAAACTCGATGAAGAATTGTGCATGTATTGCATAAGAAGCTGTTTGTAAACACGAGTTTCTTTTACAGTTGTGTAAAAAGAAAAATTTAATACCGTAAAACTAGTAGGTGAAACAACTTACTGACGTTTCGGACGTTAATCCTTCGTCGGATTAAAGAGGCCGGAATAAAGAGTTATTTACCCCGACGAAGGATTAACGTCCGAAACCTCAGTAAGTTATTTTATCTACTTTTTTACGGTGTTAATTTTTTCTTTTTACACAACTGTTTCTTTAGAAACACCGACGAAGCTCACACTAGTTTACCGCTAGTTCCCACCAGAGAGTTGCTTTTAAAACATTTTCTTATAAATAAAGACATTGAAGAAATATATCATTCTCCATTGTGGCAAAAACTGTTTTTCACGAGTAGCTAAGCCAGCATGTCTTCTTCACATTTGAAGATACCTCTGTTGCCATAGTGATAGTAACTCTGCCTGCGCGCTTTGTTCACAAAATGTTTTTGAAAATTTTTTTAGTTGCATCTCGATCTMTAATAAATACATAACGTGGTCTCCCGCGCTCACGTTAAGTGCGCTCACTCTTGAGAATTAATTCATCACTCGAAGATAAAACCCGTATCTCCGTGCGCCCATGTAATATTTATAAAGTATATATACAATAATAAAATAATGTGTTTAATAATCATCAAGCAATAAAAATATAATGTTRAGACTTACGAAAAGGCGGGTCAAGCCTCATGGCAGGGACAAAAGTACAGCAGCCAGCCAACAGGACGAAAAGGACAAGTCTTTCCATKTCTCTGTTAAAGATGGATATTTTAACAACTACGCATGTACAACCCGTGAGGGCTAATCCTATTGGACTTAATCTATCGTCAATGCTAACAAAAGCGTCAATTTACTTGCATCCTTTTTATCTATAAATGTCGTGCAGAGCTGAMAGAAAGATTGGGCTGCGCGGTGGTATAGATAGATCTTTTGAAGCCTTTCGCACTGATTAAGTATCAAGCATAGATTGGGTACAWAGACGTTGTCTAGTAACGCGTGTACTTGTACAATTTCGATGATTCAGCGCAGTCGTCAAACCAGCGATACAGAATTTTATAGGCAAGGTGTAATGACAGTGCGGTGACACAAAAGCAGGATAACAGTACCGACTACTGTATGGTGTATATTAGTCTATAATATAGAGTGATTTTAATTAATCTCCCCGTGCATGGAATAAACTTAAAGAGTGCTTTTTCTTCATTACTCTATATTTGCAAGTTTGGCTTTGGCTTTTCGGTGCATCACACCGATTTTTGATGCTAGTACACTTTTTTCACGGATTTATGAAGATCACTTCAGCCCGTGAAACCAAGTGTAAGTGTGATTCGCCGTGAACGATGGAGAAAAACTGCACTATCGATAAAAAGTATTATAAATTAGATTAGTACGCCAAAGATCACTGGTTATGAAAAACAAAAACTAAGTGAAACAAAATCTAAAAATAAAAAGGCAATAGTTTCTGGAAGGAAACCKTGTAGATTAAAACAAGACTTCAAAAGTGCAAGACGTAAAAAGAATTTGGAAATTAAGACTCCTTAATTTATACTGAAGAAACACTTGTTTTAGCGCAAATTATTATGGCCTGTCGCACAAAAATTGTCCATAGCCGCCTTGGGGCTGTCTTTCTATTCCAAGTATTTGCGAAGAGAAAAAATGCTCAACTTTGTATTGATTGTACACTAGTGAACTTTACAAAAATGAAAATTGTAGTCAAAGCATACAATTGTTTAACGATTTTGCTTGTCTAATCCAGAGAAGAGACCGGTAACCAATGATTGTATAATATACAAGCTTTTCCCTTCTGAACCCTTCTTTTCTATGAGAATTTAATTCAAGTCGCGAAAGTCCAATTCGTCATGTGCTCCATACACCAGACGAGGTGCTAAGAGTTCTAAAACGTTTTAGGAAATTATGAGGATATTGTCTATATAAGCAATACTTACCGTTTTGATTAGAAGTAGATCCGGTGAATTCTTGATAGAATGTATCAAGAGATCCGAGTACGTCGTCTAGATAATAGTCTGCACACGAGGGAGGGGCGTCATCCCTATAGCAACATACAGTGTTTGAAGGTATGCACTAAGTCTGAAGTACTGATAGCATAGCATAACAAAAGCTGTTTTAATGCATAGACTTTAATTATCTGTGACAGCTGTACTATCTCTGAAAACCGGTTTATATATTACACATAAACTTTAATTATTATATCAGTCAAAGTGAGTTCTGTAACTGTAAATCGGCTCTTTTATGCAGACATTACTGTCGTAACTTTTTTGTATCTGTAAATCGGTTCATTGAATAGTTGTTCTACCACGGCACTAAAGGCGGTTATCATGCATGCACTTTTCTTATCTGTCCTATCTCTGTAAGTCATCCCAATACAATATGCCATATTAGCATTCAGGAGGATTTAGGATATTTGCGGTAAAAGGCCGGGATGTGTCAAATTACGTTTTTTTGACTAGATTTAGATCGGAATACACTGTCCTAGGGTATTCAATTCCCTTGCGAGGTACCTTCATTAATCGTCTAGGTATTTCCCCCTCTTTGACGGTTTTATTTAAATTGTGTAAAATTTCTCATCACGACCATGTTTGTGTTTTCCGGCCTTTGAGCGAACGCGCGCCGAATTTCTACTTTTTAAATGTTGCTATTTATGAAACGGTTCAGAAAAACAACAATGAAATCTCATTTTCAGAGAAATTCAATTCGTTTTTATTTTCATTGTATTTTAAGAATCACATTTTRTTTTAATCTGATAATATACAATTTTTTCACGCATTATTTACATAATTTTATATTAAAAACTGCAGCTCTTTTTTGAGAATACTAAATATTTCCAAGACTCCCGTTTCTTTAAGAATGAAATAATTGAAGCTTGGTAATTTTTCACTTCAACTGATCTTGTTCCTCGTCATTTTTGGAGACACTGACTTC